GGCCGCGGGCTCGTTGTCGCTGGGCTGGTGCGCTGCGTCGTCGGACTTGGGTGTCAGGCTGCTGGCCGTGGGCTTGTTGTCGCTGGGCTGCTGCACTGCGTCGTCGGACTCGGGTGTTTGGTTGCTGGCCGTGGGCTTGTTGTCGCTGGGCTGCTGCGCAGAGTCTTTGATGTCGGACTCGAGTGCTGGGTTGCTGGACACGGATGCGGATGCGTTGTTGGTCGGCTTGGTCATGTCGATGGATGTCATCACAAACACTACTCGGTTGGTGGTCGGCCAGCAAAATTGAAAATGAACGCAATGTAGTCAATCGCCCAAGTGCTTGCGATTCGACATCGACGCATTGATTCGGTTTGTTGGATACTTGCTACTCGACCGCGCATGCGATGGGCAAAACAGTATCCAAACTTGACAATTTGACAATCCGATTCAATTGAAAGACATATGGAAATATGAAACGGCTCGACGACGCTGATCAGGCACAGAAATGATAGATATATCAACTCGGCACTGAGGATACGCCATTTGTGAAAGGCTCCGCTTTGGCGTGAAATTTTCGACCGATGCAGAATCCCGGAGCGAGCCCATGCATGATCTGCTCGGGTCATTTATCAAGTCCCTTCGACATGGCGACGGCGTCGGATTGGATTGAGAGCCTCAGTACGGTCCATCCAGTGGTCTTCGCGTTCGTGGCTGAGGTTATCCTCGACGCTCTCCAGGAAGAGAACGACCGAGCGGTCGAACATTGCAACGCCAAGCTCGGGCGCATGGATTCACAGCTGTTGCAAGTCAACGTGCACCTCGTGGATGTGACGACGAAGCACCAAGAGGCAATGCGCTACAAGGCCGCCCACGAGGCGTGCAGTGCCACGTACGCCTCAGAGACTGCGTGCCACGAGGCAGCCGCGGTGCGGGAGCAGCGCGAAGTCGATCGACTTCGAGGCGTGATCCGAGATGACCTCCAGCGCCGGTCCAACGCAGTCTACGACTCGATCCCGTTGCACGGCTTCTTTGCCGGCCTCATCTCCGGCGACTACAAGCGCATGATTCCGCTCTACTCGCAGGTCGACGGCATTGTCGTCGCGATCCAGAACAAGCTCGACGCGGCGCTTCTTCAGCTTGGCCGCACCAACGAAACGCTTGCTCAGCTTCGCAGCAAGTCGACGCGTAGCCGAGATGCACTGCGCCAAACGCAAGCCGCGATCAAGGAGCTCGATTCGGTGGTCGCCAGGCTACAAATGCAGGTCCAGACATGCGAGCGTGCAAGAAAGGCCATGGGCGAGCAGCTCACGGCGCTGCAAGGGGTGCGGGAGGCGGTCTCGAAGCTCCGAGCCAAGTACGCTTCGGCACACGACCAAGTGCGTCTTCTTGCCGAGATGGACGATGCCGATTTCCAGTTGATGTGCCTCCGGGACTTCCAACACCTCGCGCAACAGCACGCCAATGCTCTGCTTTTGTTGCAGTAACACAACGAGTCGAGTAAGGATCTTTCACAGAACGAAACGGGTTGCATGCTACGCTGTTCTACCCAAGGTCGCGAGCCAGCGCTGTTAAAAAGGTGGCTGTGTTTGCGGATTTTGCGAGTGTGTAGTACAAATTAGTTAAGAAAAAGCTACGCAAGGACGCGCTTGGGCGTCATCGAGTCGAGAATCCAAACAGCTCCAAAATAGACCTAACCACAACGAGCTTGGAGCCGTCGTCGTTCCAGCTGTGTTGAAAGATTAAGGTAGATGGAGATACCAGTGAACCTTTTCTCTGCGCCTTGCCCGTCATCAGCGATCATTAAATGATCAAATGATCACAATCAGACGCAATTTGTAAAACGTACTACACATTTTGTAGTACGTTTTACAAATTGCGTCAAATTGTCAAGTTTGGACACTGCTTTGCCTATCGAGTGCATGGGAGTGGGCCGAGTGCATCAAGTAGCCAGCAATCCGAAGCGTCGATGTGAACTCGGTTTGGCACCATTTTCATTTTGCCGTCGCCGATGCCATCGACCACCAACCCCACGCTCGTGATCACATCGTACGACTGCTACGAGACTGGCGTCCAGCCCGCGCTCCTCGACGGCCAGCTCCTGGAGAAGGTCGCGGGCAAGGAAGCCTTTCTCCAGGCCATGAGCGTCGAGTGCTGCATGGAGACGCTTCAAAAAATGGCATCCATGCTCGAGACAGCGATTGCTGCCTCGCACGGCTATCCGTGCAACACCACGATCGTCGGGACGCTTGGTTGCTACCAGACGCTCGTCGTCGACACGGACATTGCCGCCGACGCGTCTCTGAGTGCGTGCATGCAAGTGCTCAAGAACCACAAGATGATTTTCCTCTTTCTCGAGAAGAACAAGTTGGACGTGGTCGAGAAGCTGCTCGTCAGGACGAGCACGGTCGCCGCGCGCATGGAAAACATCGCGAACGAGCTCGTGACCGCGTCGAAGGCGGCTGCGGTCATTGCGCAGGCGAGCCTCGACGCGACCACCAAGGCCACCACAGCCGCCATCCGCAAGAACAAAGAGCACGGCGAGAACAAGGCGAAGGGCGCGAGCCAGAAGAAGGACCGGGAAGCGGCCGCCAAGCGCTTCGAGGTCGAGGTCGCTGCTGCAAAAGCCCAAGTGATATCGGCAGAAGACGCCGTGCGTTGGCAAGGGCAAGTCGACTGCAACGACTCGACCTACAATTGGTGCTGGGGGCTCTTCTCCGGCTCGTCCTCGCGCGGGAACGAGCTCGAAAAGTTGCGCCAGCTCCGGGTCGTGGAGGACGCCAGACGCGCCGAGTGCGCCGAAGTGCTCAAGAAGCAGCTGGCGCACAACCAGACTATCGCTGACAGTGTGCACGAGCTCGCGCGCCTGCAAGGAAAAGAAAATACCGAGGCCCAAGCGATTGTCGCCCTCGCTTTGACGGTCAAGGCGCGTCGGTGGCATCAGACGAGCTTCGAGGAGGTACGCAACTTTTGGAGCAAGCTCAAGACCCGCTACAGCGAGCTTGTCGACGTCGATTCCGAATTGAAGTGCGCGA